TCAGACGCAGGGCAATAGCCAGAATCACCGCCAGGAGGAAGAGTACTGAGATCAGGGCCAAGGCCACCACCAGGTAAAACTGAAGCTCACTCTGGGGGTCAGATGGTAGAGGATCATCGCTGAGGTCTGGCAGGACCTCCTGTAGGCTGTCAGCGAAGATCAGGTGCAGAGTGGCTGTAGCCGAGAGCGGTGGCTGTCCACCATCTCGCACAGCGACCAGAAGGCGCTGCCGCGCTGAGTCCCTGTCTGCCAGGGCACGCGCTGTGCGCACCTCTCCTGTGCGCAGCCCCAGGCTGAAGAGCCCGGGATCGCTGGCCTGCAGCACATGGTAAGACAGCCAGGCATTGTGTCCCGAGTCTGCGTCCACCGCCACCACCTTGGTGACCAGATATCCAGGCTCCGCAGCGCGTGGCACCATGTCGAAGAGCGCAGAGCCGTCGGGCTCGAGCGTGGGATAGAGCACGCGTGGCGCGTTGTCGTTGCGGTCGCCCACCAGCACGCGCATGCTCACGTTGGCACTGAGCGCGGGCGATCCGTGGTCGCGCGCCTGCAGTGTCAGCTGGAAGGAGCGCAGCTGCTCGTGGTCGAAGGCGCGCTGCGCGTACACCACTCCACTGTCGTGGTTCACAGACACGAAGGACGACAGCGCCCTTGGCTCTAGGTCGCTGGCTATGATGGAATAGGAGATGAGGCCATTGGGTCCCAAATCCGGGTCCGAGGCGCTGACTTGAGCAATGGAGGCTCCAGGTGGGTTGTTCTCAGCAACGTGGACCAAGTAGGAGGCCTGGTGGAAAACCGGTGCATTGTCGTTGACGTCTGAGATATGGAGAGTGATGATTACGTTAGAAGAAAGCGGGGGCTTACCCCTGTCGGTAGCTACAATGGTGACGTTGTATTCCGGAATCTCTTCCCGGTCTAGAGTTCTGTCTGTCACTAGTTTGTAATAATTCTTCGAAGAAGATTTCAATACAAACTCTTCATTTCCCCAGACGTGGCAGTAGACGTCTCCATTTTCTCCGGAGTCTCTGTCTCTGGTTTTTATCAAGGCGATGACTGTTCCTAGTGGAGAGTCTTCTGGTAGGGGGGTAAATACTGAAGTCACAATTACTTCTGGCGCACAATCATTCTCATCCAGAATTTCCACTTGGATACTGCAATGGGATGCTAGGTCTCCGGGATCTTTTGCTTCTACATTCAGGGTGTAACTCTTAGCAGTCTCAAAATCCAAATTATCCTTTGTCGTGATTTCTCCTGTTCTCTTATCTAAGTTGAAAAAACGTTCCACCTGTTCATCCACATTGTGAAAAGAGTAGGTGATTTCTGCATTGATGCCCTCGTCCTGGTCAGTGGCTGTCACCTGAAGCACGGAGGAGCCTGGTGGCACATCCTCCCGAAGGGTGACCCTGAACACATCCTGGCTGAACACGGGCGGGTTGTCATTGGCGTCTGTGACTTGGATTCGGATCTGGGCGGTGCCACTTAGGGGAGGATCCCCCCCATCCACAGCCGTGAGGATCAGTTCGTGAAAATTATGCTCTTCCCTGTCCAGAAAACGTTTTAGAATCAACTCAGGATATTTACGTCCATCTGGGGTCTCTTTTTCAGTGACTTCAAAATATTCATTGTCAGTGAGATAGTATTTTTGCAGCGAATTAGAACCAGCATCTAAGTCGAGGGCTGGATCCAATGGAAATGCTTTACCTGGTCTGGTGGACTCCCCAATGTTTAAATCAACCTCACTCTGTTTGAATAGAGGAGCATTGTCGTTCACATCCTGAAGAATTACAGCTACGTGGAAAATATTTAATGGCTTCTCAGCGACAATATCGAACTCCAAAACACACTGAGGCTGTTTCCCGCAAACCTGCTCTCTGTCTATTCGGTCACCCACAAGTAAGTCCCCACTCTCTGGATTTACAGTAAAATAATCATTCTCTGCGCTGACCCTTAGCTTCCGGGTGGGCAGATTCTGGACACTGAGCCCCAGATCCTTTGCGAGGTTTCCTACCATCGAGTTCTTGGCCAGCTCCTCGGGAATGGAGTAGCGGATCTGATCCGGGAGAGCTCCGTGGAACAAAGGCAGCAGGAAGGGCGACAGTACCTGCAGCCACCGGGCCGGGCCGCTCCCAGAGTTCCTCCTCATCCTCCTGGCTCGCGCTGCTGCTGTGCTCTTGTGTTAGTGTGGGTGGCCAAATCTGCCTAGGGCCACTTTTCTTGCTGATGTTTGCTGTATCTAGATGTGTACTAGCTCTCCTCTATGGTTGGTTTGTACAGGAAGTTACTCCCCCAGTCTCCTAACGCGTCTGGGAAAATGGTCTCTCTCTTCTTTTGACCTACAGCGACGCTCAGAGGTCTTCTCAGAAATTGCAACGAAGTCTAGCAAAGGTTTGAAGTTTTTTGTTTGTTTTTGGTTTGGTTGGCTTATTTTTTGTTTTTGTTTTTTGTGGTTGCTGTTGTTTTTAAATTTATGATGAGTTATTTATTTTAAAGAGGTAATATATTGAAATTGTTTCAAATTAAGAAGTTACATATAGTATAGGTTCTATACTATATGTAACCACCTATGAATCATGTAGCACGTTTCTCTCAAGTGGAGTGAGTTCTAGGCTTTTGTGTATGTTTTGGGTAGTGCGTCCCACATTTAAGTAAATGTTGTCTCTGCCCCTCCCTGTAATTAAACCAAAGCATTACACCATAAGCTTCTCCATCTCACTTCTTCCGCTCAGTCCATACACCCACATGTGCACTCCTTCTCTGGACTCTCATTAAAATATTTCATTTCACACCAGTACACAGGTCTCTGCCTTTATTCCTCATGTAGCGGTCTACCATATGAACAAACAGTATCTTGTGTTAGCCAATTATTATTTAAATAAACAGTATTATTAAGTAAACAGTAACTCATGATAGCAAGCTATTATTTACTGTTCTCCAAATGATTGACATATATTATTCCAGCAGAACATAATCTTAACACCAGTATCTGAGTGTGTTTTACCAAATTTTAGGCCAACTGAACACCTCTGAGTTATATTTTATCACCAGTGTTTGGAATAATGTATCCTCAGATAGACTGTCCCAGAATTTGCTTATTACCTCTTTCCTTGCCCAGGATCAGACTGTCACCATGTCTCTCATTCCTACCTACTCTGTGTATTGTACACAGCTTCACACCAATACAAAGCCACATAGAATCAACTCTCCTTGATACAATGGGCACTTTCAGAAACCCCATGCATTGTGTATAAATTTTCATTAATTCTGGATTAACTCACTTAGAACTACATGAAAACTTAGGAAATAAAAGTGTTGCATATCTCTGAGACACAAAATGCTTTGTGTAATGTCAGAGGATACTTTGTCTCATACCAGGTCACATAGTGGTAAACCTCCCAAGAAGACTTAGTAGAGATTTTGACAGATGGGAATGAGATCAACTGACTAAGCACTAACAATAATAACAGCCCAGAATCTAAGTCAGCCAACCATTGTAAGAGGTTTACCTGATGAAAACCAGAGAGATTTAAGCAAATTCTGTTTTGTTGGGACTCAGTGGTGATGTCATAATGGGGAATTTAGAAATTATGAAAATTACTATAACTTATTTATATGAATGAAATAAAATAGGCAATTTTTTGTAATAACCAAGTTGTAACAAAGGTATCAGATAGTCTGGTATACTTTGTATCAGCAACAATAAAATATTTGATCTGGGCATAGTGACACACACCTGTAATTCTAACACTTAAAGAGAACTGCAAACTGCAGGCCATCTTGGGTAGGCCTCATAGTGAGTTAAAGGCTAGCCTAAGCTACGCAGTCAGACCTTGAATAGAAAATTATTGGGAATACACAAGTTCATGGAGAAGTTAATGCTATAGCTAAAGGTTAAATATTTTTTTTACTACATATAAATTGTCATTGTACAATTATAATGGAAAAGAAACCCTTTCAAGGAAAGAGAAGTAAACTCCAAGCAAAGTTTATTAATGTAATAAAGGGAACTTAAAAAAAATTAGGCTATGGCTGGTAAAATGCCTCAGTGGCGAAAACCATTGGCCACTACACCTGCACTGCTGAATCTGATCCCTGGGATTCACATAGTGGAAGGAGAGAGCGGATTCCCCATGGTTGTCCCCCAACACACACACACACACACACACACACACAGAGTAAAACTGTAGTATTTTAAGTATTATGATGTTTTAAACTATCCAGCCTAGATTCCACATTAGTATCACGAGAAGGTGATGTAAATAGACAATTGTGCAATCGCCTTCTATTCACATGTCAATTCTAGCCGGTCATCAGTGTATTCAGGAAAATGACATTTAAAAAGAAAATGGTTTAAAATTAAGGAATTCTTACCAAAATCACTACCAAATGAAAAATGTGAAGGATAAGCAAATAAATATCATGGTTTGAGGTGTAATTCATTGTATAATTACAAGAAGGCTTGCCCAATATGCTCAAACTCTGCAATCCACTTCAATCATTACAAAAAAAGAAAATAAGGTTATTAATCAACAAATAACTGTGTGTAGTGACTGTCATTAATCACTATTCTTCTAAAGCAAGGGTCTATTAATAAAGAAATGCATATTTTTGATACAAAACACATACAACTGGAGGCACTTTACAAACCCTCATGTGTGTGTTTTAGAGAGGTTTAAAGATCCATTATAGGAGTAAGTCACTCACCTGCAGACTGGAGTCTCCTTTTATTTCAAGCAAGTCTTGAGATACCAGGAGAGGATCACTCTTCCCACAGCTCTCCTGGCTGATGAGTGTGTCTGCGTAGTTGGGCTGTGGGAAGATCAGGTGACTCTTCCCAGAGTCGGCTGTGAGCGAGACCTCATGAGAATAGGTCTGGAGGAAAGCATGTACGCCATCCACACCCACAAAATGTGACGTAGGCATGGATGACAACCCATTACCTGCAGCCTGAAGCAGGTGAGTTGAGTGCCAGCGACGGAGCCTGTGTACCAGCAGCACAATGACAAAGGCTAAGAAGACACAAGAGACCGCAGCCACAGCCACCACCAGGTACAATGTGATGTCTGAATCTTCCTGGTCAATGTGAGTTTTAATGTTGCCCAGATCCGCCAGGATGTCTGGAATGTTGTCTGACACAGCTATGGTGAGTGTGACTGTGGCAGAGAGAGGAGGCTGGCCATGGTCCTGCACGGTCACCACCAGGCTCTGCTTGAGAGCATCTCTGTCCATCAGGGCCCGAGCAGTTCGTACCTCGCCCGTGTGCAGCCCCACCGAGAAGAGCCCTGGCTCACTGGCCTTGAGCAGGCGGTAGGACAGCCAGGCATTCTGTCCTGAATCTTTGTCTACTGCCACCACCTTGGTCACCAAGTATCCAGGTTCTGCAGAACGAGGTGTCAGCTCCACACCAGTAGAGCCATCAGTGGGGGTTGTGGGGTACAGGATTTCAGGTGTGTTGTCATTCTGGTCCAGCACAAACAAGCTCAGTGACACGTTGCTGCTGAGTGGAGGATTCCCACTGTCTCTGGCTGTCACCAGTAGCTTCAAGTCTTGAAACTGCTCATAATCAAAGGAACGAAGTGCATAAAGGACACCAGTATTGGAGTTGATGGAGATGTAGGAGGACAGAGGTGCCCCCTGGATAGTATCTTCTGACAGGGAGTAGATTACCTGGGCATTTTCACTGCTGTCTGGGTCCTGGGCTGTTATGGATAAGATGGAAGCTCCTCTAGGGTTGTTTTCTGGAATGTAGGCAGAATAGGAGGCATGGGTGAAGGTGGGCGGGTTGTCATTAATGTCCACCACCTGCAGTGAGATATAAGTCTCTGTAGACAGTGGTGGAGTTCCCTGGTCGGTGGCAGTTATTGTAATGTTATAGTCAGAGACTTCTTCCCTGTCCAGAGTCCTGTGTATTAACAACCGATGATAATTTCCATAGGTCTTTTCCAGCCTGAATGGAAGATTATCTGGAATGGAACAAGTGACAAGACCATTCTCTTCAGAGTCACTGTCATGCACATTGAAGAGCGCAATCACTGTGCCTGGGGAAGAAGCTTCTTGGATAGAGCTGGTGAGGGAGGTGACTGTGACTTCCGGAGCATTGTCATTTACATCCAGAACTGTCACCAGTACCTTACTTCTGGCTCGAAGACCAGGCCCATCATGGGCTTCTACATCAACATCATAGAATCCAGAGTCTTCATAATCTAGTTCCCCCAACATTGTAATGTCCCCAGTCAGAGAATTCAGCTGGAAGAGCTGGGATATTTTGTCTCTTACGTTCCGGAAAGAATACGTCACTTCTCCGTTGGCTCCTTCATCCGGGTCAGTGGCTTTTATGGTAAGTAGCCGGGTGCCTACAGGCAAATTCTCCTTCACACTAATGTGGTACTCTGGCTGAGTGAATACAGGAGCATTGTCGTTGGTGTCCACGAGTGTTATTTGAATTGTGGCAGTACCAGAGCGAACCGGGTCGCCTCCGTCGAAGGCGGTGAGAACCAGGTGATGAAAGGCTTCCTCCTCGCGGTCTAAGGCATTTTCCAGCACTAGTTCCGGGTACTTAATCCCATCTGGCCCACTTTGCACATCCAGGGAGAAGTGGTCATTGGAGCTGAGCTGGTAACCCTGCAAGGCGTTCACCCCTATGTCCGGATCAAAAGCTTCAGGAAGAGGAAATCTTGTTCCAGGAATTTCACTTTCAGCGACTTTTATTTCCCGCTGCTGTGCTCCAAAGCTGGGGGCATTATCATTAACATCCATAATTTCCACTTCTACGGCTAGAATCCTCACTTTATCCTCTAGGAGGATCTCCAGATTTGCGGTACACTTTGGCGATCTGTCACAGAGCCCTTCCCTGTCTATCCTCCCTGCTGTCACCAAACTGCCGCTTCGTGGGTTCAGAGCAAAGAGCTGGGTCTTACCTCTGGAGACGATGCGGACTCCACGTTCTGCCAGTTTCCCAGGCTCCAGCCCCAGGTCCGCGGCGAGATTACCCACCGCAGAGCCCCTTTCCAGCTCCTCTGGCACAGAGTACCGGATTTGTTCCGCGCGGATGTCGCATAGGGATCCAAGGAAAACGCAGATCCAGATTAGTCCCCTGCGGTCTGATCCGTAAGGAGCCGCCATTGCAGTCCCGCAGCAGAGGGTCCTGAGCTTGGGCGTTGAGTCTGTGTAGGCCTGATGAACCCCACAATCTTTGGGTTTCAAGATAACGTACTTGTACCGTTGGACCCTGGTGCTCCTGGGAGTCCAGACTGCTGCTTTCTTTAAGATCATAACCTTTGTGTTCCGGAAATCCTGGTCTTACCTATTTTCACCCCTGAGTGGTGAACAGCGACACCCAGAGTACTAAACTGTTATTGCAACAATATTTTTGATAAAACACACACATTCTAAACCCACTTCTCTAAAGGAGAATAAAGGTCGAAACTGTGTTGTTTAATTTGCAACAAAAATCCTGGAATTACTCAAGGCCTCTTATACATCAAACTATGTCAATTTATTAGAGAAATAATATGGTGGGAAACATTGTTTTCTACCTCTTTTCAGTTGTTGCATTGCTCACCCCCCCATCCTTTCCAGTGCTCTGTATTGGATGAGGGTCACAGTCATTCCTCTCAGGAACAGGGATGGATATGAAGAGTAGAGAAAAGGGAGGAGTGGAGTGGTCCATGCTGCCTGGAGGGGCAGCTCTAGTTACAACCTATTTATTGCAGAAGCAAGTTTCCTCACAAATTCGCCCTTTGGAAATCTTGGGTAATTGTTCAGTTCTATTGCAGGCAGGGTGCCAGCTGCTCAAGAGATACTCTTACCTTTGTGCAAATGAATTTAGGGGAAAGAGTTCTAGATGTGGAGTAAAATAGCTAGTTTTGTGTACAGGACACTGTTGGCTATATGTCATGTCACTACGGTCAGATTCAGAATGTGTCCTCAGTCTCTACAACAGCAACTTTCATAGACAAAAACATTTGTCAATGTTTAATGAGTCAATTACCAATGTAAATCAAATTCAAATAATGGGCAAACAAATATTAAATTAAATGATAATATCAAGGCAAGGAAGTTAAGCTGAAGGGCTGTTCGAATATTTCAAGTCATGTGTGGTGTCACACACCTTTGATTTCGGTACTCAGGAGGCAGAGGCAGGTGAATCTCTGTGAGTTCAAGGACAGCCAGAGCTATGTTAGGGGTTTCTCTTATATAAGACACACCCAGTGGTCTCATTTACCATCATCAATTCTATTATTTTTTTAACCACTGCATCAAATTACTTTCTCATTGATTTCAGAAACAGCCAGGAAAAGGAACTATGTTGATAACCAAGGAAGTATCTCCTCCATCACACGGTTCACAGCTTTCTTGAGTAATCTGAGATAAGTCAAGAAGTCATAGCTCTTTAAAGTATTCCTCACTTAACAGTTGGCACACGGAAATGGCTAAACTTTTAAGGAGTCATGAAAGCCTATTAATTATGCAGAATTAAAATGTTAGTCTTTGAGAAAGTAGGTTAGATGTGTTTTTCACAGTCCTTCAAAGATATGTTAAGTGCTCAGGAGTCAGGGCATTAAAACGTTGTGTGTTGAAAATAACTGACAAAAGGCACGCAAATATCAAAATGACCTGACTCACAGAAATCTATACTAAAGTAATGGGAAAGATATAAAATGACTCATAAATAGAGCATCACGGTCCTTACTATAATGATGATGAAGTAGAAAGCACAGAACACAAATGATTAAGGAATTGTCAAAGACCCAGGGAAGGGTAGACAAGATGGCCCAGGTGGTAGAAGCTTTTTTCGGCAAGCCTGACAATCTGAGGAGTTTGCTCCTGGGGGTCCATGCTTGAAAGTAGAGAACTGGTGCCCACATTGGCCTTTAACCTCCACATGCTCACCCTGGCACATGTGTGCCTTACCTCCCTAAATAAATGCAAAGGAGAGAAACGAGTGAAATCATATGTGAGAATAATATTGACCCCAAATTAGTGATTCAAATATAAAATGTAATATTTGGAACTTGTGGTGAGACAAATAAATGCTAACAGGCCTAGTTTTTAGAGGGCCTTGTTAACTGGATGTGTTGCAATAAAAGATTGTTAAACAGAGTGGTGGCAGCACACACCTTTAATCCCAGCACTTGGAGGTGGGGCAGGCGCATCTCTGTGAGTTTGATGCTAGCCTGGACTACAGATCGAATTCCAGGACACCCAGGGCTACACAGAGAGACTCTGTCTCAAAACAAACAAACAAACAAACAAACAAACACTTAACAAATAAAAGTTGTTCAAGTAAGAAAAGTAATTGATCATAAACTTTAATTTAGGCAGAAAGAAATATCAATATGCTTATAAAGAGTTAAAGATTATTTTAAAATTCAGTCTCACAAATCAAGTAAGAAAGGACACTAATATTGAGTGTTGACTTATAAGAAATAAGTCTCTGGCAAGATTTGCTAGCCACACAGAAACACCAACAGTAAAGACTGAAACTGGTAATCAGGTAATTTCCAACATGACTGAGCAACCAAGAGCCAATCTTTACGAATCTACGGCACTTCTTCCCTAAATATCCCCAAACTATAAAAAAAAATGGCCAAAATTAACTAATTTGTGCACGACTAAGAAGCAAGTACAGCAAATAAAATTCAAGTTGTTCTGTAGAAACTTACATGAAAAGAAGAGTCGTCCGAGATTTTGGGATCTTCATTACTGCCACATATAACCACAGAAGGATCATCGCACAGGAGATCCTGAGGGGGAGCAACTTCTGGCACCACGTGGTGAAAATTAAACCCTGCCATAGTCGTAGAATGTGAGGCAACGCATAAATTATAGGAATAGGGCAATGTCCCCTCGCTGTAGTTGGGAGGAACCACAGGTTGAGACTTTGGGCTGAGACCAGACTGAAAGCAGCCCCAGGCAGCTGATCTGGAGGAGTGTCTCAGACGCAGGGCAATAGCCAG